GTTACAATGTATCAGTTTCTGGTGTACAGCATAATGTCCCAGTCATGCATATATATACATATATCTGTTTTCATATTCTTTTTCATTAAAGGTTATTACAAGATACTGAATATAGGTCCCTCTAAATTTGTGAGTTTGAGATTTGCAAATGTTAGCCACTATATATAAAAATAGATAAAAAACAAACTTTTTCTGTATAGCACAAGGATATAGTATTCTTGGTTGGCAAATGTTTTCTTTCAGCATTTTGGAAATATTCCCTCATTTCTTTGTTGTATTATCAGCACCTAGCACAATGTATGGTACATAGTAGGCATTGAATAGATATTTATTAAATAGATACAGAATGCATGACTGATAATGTTTGACAATTCAATCATCCCTGGGAAAAACAAGAACTGTCTTCACAGGATCGACATTTCAAATGCAGAAAGTGGCAGAAGAAGTTCCTAAGATTCTGTGGGCCCTTATCCCCTACTCCAGCCTGATTCCCAATTTGCTGCAAATGAATCAAGAAGACATAAGGCTCAGTTTCAGCTACATTTCAGAAGTAAATGTGCCATCACAAAGATCTTTGAGAAATTCATTGATTTACTCTCCAGAAATGGGACAGTATTCACCTGACTTTTAGTACAGCTTTCTAGTATAATTTATTTGCTGATGGCTTAGCTCATAGCTAACTATAATTTTTAAGGGAAAAGAGTAGGCATGTTTAAAACTCTCTTGTTTTAAATAAATAAGCAAAAAAGAAACCTTTTTAACACAGCCATAAAAGAAAGGAGAATATTCAAAGCAGAGATAAGTAACACTTACATACTGCTTACTATGTATTCAGTTACTAAGCGCTCCAATCCTCTCCTGTCAGGTACTCATTTAATCCTCACAGCAATACCTTAGTTAAAAAGGTGGATAGCATTATTGTAATTCTCAATTTTCAGATAAGGAAACTGAGTTAAAAAGAAGTAAATAAATTGATCAAGATTATACAGCAGAGTTAGAAATGGATCCCAGGCAGTATGGCTCCACAATCCATGTTTGTTAGTCACTTGCCTCTATTGCCTCTGACACAGCAGAAGATGAGTGATGATCAAAGCTAACAAAATAAAAAAACTAAACTGCCACAAAAGTGAGACATACATTAAAAACAGCGAGAACTAAAAGGACGTCAATACCATGAAGAACAGGCTGGTGAAAGCCACACAAAGAAACAACATGTGCTCTATATGTGGAAGAGAAAAAAGATCCAGAATATACACAGAGAGCTTTCTTGGGGAAAAAAAAAAAAATAACAGTAAAATGGAACAGAAATCTATTAAAGATATAACAAAGAAAACTTTACCTAACTAAAGACATGAAGTAGCATAGTGGTAGTAAATACCATGTTCCAAGAAAAATTAATGCACAGTGGTACACACAGACATATATCCTGGTTGAGTGTACTGAATTTTTGCTTTTCGCATTTTTTGTTGTTGTTGTTCTTTTTTAGTTTTTTTTCCTCAGTGCAAATCAATTCCATAACATGAGAAACTCCTTCAAATTAAAGCATAAATATACAAAAACAAAGTATAATCCAAAACAGATGTACAGTGTTCCGATATGAAGGGGAAAACAGCATTCATTCACATAGTAGTTTGATATCTCTTGGAGCTGGTTGTCCTTGGTGAAGTTTCTAAAGATGATAAAAACTTACTTTGGCTATTAAGACTACTATGCCAAACTGGATTCTAAAGTATCTAAGCATCAGCATGTGACCATTTAAACCAAACAAATCATGGGCTGTCTATGTCTAAAACAACGTTTCTGTGCATCAAGGAAATTGGAAAAGATTTACTTTCCAGCTTAAACCTATTTTCAGCCTTAAGACGAAGTTCTAACTAAAACTATTGACAGGTGCAGAAAATGTCTTAAATGTGGTCATTGTGATTCATGAATTTAAAAAGTAGAAATAACAGGTTTTTTGTATGTGAACTTACTGTATTTGAGTTTCTTGTCTTCACTTCCCAAATACCTGAGTCACAATATTTTTGACTCCTTCAAATACTTTTCTCTTACTTTCAAGATTTGTCAGATATACCTTCAAAATAGATAATTTTTTAAATTGAAAAGTTATTGAACAGATGAAGAAATAACAAGCATTTTAAGATTTAGTTGAGGTCAGTGTGTGGTGGGAAATATCTAACCTTTGACTTTATAAGTGTGTAAGCAAGACTCGCTCATTATACTTGAATTTGGAATAGGTTGCAATCCATTATTAATCTAGCACATGTCAATTACAACATAGAAAGTCAAATAAAAAGTCAAATCCAAAGCCCAGAGTATAGATAACAGTGAGAACATAACAACGTAAAACATTTTTAAGAGTGTACCAGTATTAAATTAGTTCTACTCAAATAACACAGATTTACGGTAACACCTGAAGAGTTTCCAGTGTATAAGAGACTCATGAAAGTGTTTTTTATTACAATTTTTTTACTAAATTGTTTTATAGCCATATAGATTCAATGAACCAAAAAGAAAACTGAATCTCCATCCCCTATTCAATTTTTTTTCTATCAAAATCCCCTTTTTTTTTTCAGAATCTTCTTATTTTTAAAGTAGAGTTCTCTGACTTTGTATTTCTTTAGCCACATTTAATAGTGTCATATCTTATTTCTGTATATTTCTCTATTCTCTTCTGCACACGAAACTCCAAAAGATTAAATATTGGCATGCACTACCTAGACAAGTACTTCATATACTCTTAAAACCAGTCAGATTTGGGGTTTTCAGCATTTTCTTTGCCCCTAATTTAAGTAATGGGAATTACTAGGTTTGATAAAGGTTTATTTTTAACTTTCCCACAGCAGACTTCCAAGCGTCATTTGCATTGGTTTTGAAAGATGAGATGGGAAAGTGATATTTCTTGGCTTAAATCTCTTAATAGTAGAGATAATTGAGGTAGAAGAGTCACTAGCAGGAGCAGGAAAAGACTAGCTGTGGACTTCAGGGCACTGCCATCCCTCTGGGTGGTCTGTGGCTTTGAGGATGCTATGATAGCAGTTATTGGAGCTAATGCACAGATTACTGGATTCTGTGACCCTGTGGGTAGGAATAGTGCCAGAAGGAACAGCCCCTACCCGAAGGCCATCACAATAGCAAGAGTAGCTCCTTCCTCTGTCTTCTCCTATCCCTCCCTGACCTCCACTCCTACTCCAGAGCTTCCCAGGACCCCGATGTTGCCACTGCTAACAACAGAAAGACTTCCTCCCATCTGAAGACCTTGGGCACCCAAGACCTTGGCACTGGTCAGGGGCAAAAAGTACTAAATTCTAAACAGGAAGAAAGAATCAACCACGCTTTCAGGCAGAAAAACATGTAAGAGGAAAACCAAGTTTGGCTCATACATCTCAATAGCAACAGTCAATTCCAATCTACAGTAATGTAATGGCAGCTGAACTCTAACTTATTTATGCAAAGGGTGAATCAAATGTTAAACACAAGCAAAACACAAGCAAACTGTCATTCATGCATAGATACAGAGCAAAGACCTTCACAAACAATACAAGAGCTCAGGGAACATAGCACCACAGATACTCTGGGAAGGTATGACTTGAAGATGAAATAGATTCAGTTAAATCAAAAATCCAGAAATGTAGAAACATGTCATGCAATAGCTGCTGCTGAGCAATGACTCCATTTAAACATGGAAAACTATTACCGTTGTAAGAATTATGGTACTCAAGGGGAATATTATAAACAATGACAGTACAAGATAATGTTATGTTGTTATGTAATAACAAAAACATTGAGATAAAGCGGGAGAGGGAAGGTGGGAGGAAGTAGTGTGCAAAGTAGTTTAATTATATGATTTATAATATGAAAATAACTTTTAAAAGAACTAAAATATATCTGTATATCTTACAGATGGCGAAACACGTGCACATACATTCCCAAAACAAAACAAACAAAACACAGATTATGTAGCCAAAGAAACAAAGGAAATATCATAAAGAGTTTATACTGGCACTTCCTCTATTGTAAAAATGTGTACATGTATTTCAAATATAAATATATAGCCTAGGTTATGGTTTAATAATTGGGTTGGGTGTGGTATTGTATTGTTGGAAAACATACCAACCCTTCAACTCCCTCAAATATTTTGTTGGAATTTTTTTTGCTAACATTAATAACCCACTTTACCCACATCTTGGAAAGATTCTACAGCTTTACAGCCACTTTCAGGCATTAAAATATTTCACACAATCTAAATCAGTCTTTAATATCACATCTAACTGTGTGTCTCTACTTCCTCCAGGCAGGGAATAGAATACCAGGAAGAAGGCGGGAGTTGATTATTTTCAAGCTCATTGCTCTACCTCCTTGCCTTGCTTCTGCAACTCATACTCCAAGGATAAAAAATGGAAGGGATAAAACTTCCACAGGGAAAGGCTGTTTTAGTCAGTCTGTGCTGTTAATAATTTTTTGTTGCATTTGAATTCTTTCCTTTATTAGAGGCATCTAAATGAAAACTTTTCAATGAGGGTCCCCTGAGCATTGCCTCCTGTAACTGACCTCTTCACAGGTCCCTTTTTATACTTGCTTTGGTTATTCCCTACTTGACATCTATTTTTCCTAGCATTTAGTACTTCAAGATGGCATCCACATTAAAGTTATACTTCGTACCGAAACTGCCCTTTTTTTTTTTTTTTTTGCATTTTATTGAAGACTGCGCTCTCCACTTTCCTACTTTCAGATTTTTTTCCAGGTGAGAGTCTGGCAAGTTGCCAAAACTTGTTACAAAGAAACATTTGTCAAAACAGTGTGGTGCTAGAATAAAGACATAGAGCCCGATGGAGTACATAGGAATTCCAGAAATCAAAGCTTGTGTATTTGGACAAAATGATTTTTGACAAGTGTGTCAAATTATTCAGTGGGGAAAGGACAGTCTTTTTAAAATACGGTGTTGGGAGACTTGGACGTCCACATGCAAAGGAATGCAGTCAGGCCCTTTCCTAACACAGTATATGACAATTAACTCAGAATAGATCAAACACCTAAACTTAAGAGCTATGACCATAAAACTCTTAGAAGAAACAGGGGGAAAGCTTCATGGCATTGGGCTTGACAGTAGTTTCTCAGGTAAGACACCAAAGGGACAGGCAACAAAAGAAAAAGTACATAAATTGGACTTCATCACAACTGAAAACTTCTGTGCATCAAAGCACACTATCAACAAGGTGAAAAAGCCATCTATAGAATGGGAGAAAATATTTGCAAATCGTACATCTGAAAAGGAATTGTTATTCGGAATATATAAAGAACTCTCAAAACTTAACAACGGAAATGCAAACAAATCAATTAGTAAATTGGCAAAGGCCTTAAGTAGATTTTTGCCCAAAGAATATAGCCAATAAATACATGAGATGCTCAACATCACTAAGCATTAGTGAAATACAAGTCAAAACTGGAATAAAATACCACATCATACCCACTAGGATGGCATTATCAAGAAAATGGAAAAAAAAAAACCAAGATCTGGCAAGAATGTGGAGAAGAATGAATTCTGTGTATTGCTGGTGCGATTGTAAAATGGTGCAGTTTCTATGGAAAACAGTATCATGGTTTCTCAAAAAATTAAACATAGAATTACTATATAATCCAGCAATTCTGCTTCTGGGTATATACACAAAAAAATGAAAGCAGAAATTCAAACAGGTACTTGTACATCCATGTTTATAGCAGCTTTATTCATAATAACCAAAAGGTGGAAACAACTCAAGTTGTTATTCTTTCTCAAGATTGTTGTGGCTATTCAGTATCTCTGGAGATAACATGTGAATTTTAGGATGGATTTTTCTGTTTCTTTAAAAACATCATTGGATTCCTCCAGCTTTATTCTCCTTTTTCAGGATTTTGGGGACAAGCAATCTGTAAATGTTTAGCAAGGCATGATATTAACTATTTAAAGCTAAGACTTCTTAAGTACTCCATGGTACGCTCAGAACTTAGGTGCCTTAGAAGTTTTAAAGGAGCAAATTTTTTTTAGCTCCTAATATAGGAAAGGCTTATATGTGGAAGATTCTGTTCCCTATAATTGAAACAGGAAAAGCTGTAATTGTGTAATTAATTCCTGGTCAGAAACCGGTAGTCTGCATCATGAAGCTATTTGAGCACGTTAAATCCCATGCCTTAGCTGAGGCCTGCCTAGATGGCATTGACTTGCCAAGCCTCTTGTGGTTGGCACTTGTTGAGTTTATACTTGCACTTTCAATTGGATTGAGTCAACCCCTAGCCACATTTAAACATTGCTCATGCTTTTGCCTCTGTTGAAAACTGTAGGTCTCTTGTGATTACTAAGGCCTGTGACCATTTATTTAGGATCTGACACATGAAACTTACATATTAAGAAACTGTTGATGACCCAAAGAAATAGCCACTCACTTGGGAAAATAAGGCATCAATAAGCTGCAGTGATCTGACGAGATAAAACATTAAGAAGCCTAAGGCTTCATATCTCTTGCCCAGGCCAACATGTACACGCCAAGTTGTAATAACCATACATTTATCCAGTTGTGAAAAACAGTCTCGTGGCTTGGAATAGGCACCTACAAACAGCAGATTTAAAATGCTCTACCAGGATAAAAAAAGCTCTGGGCACCACACAGGTACCCTCATCTCAACAATTATCTTTCTGTAATGTTCACTGTGCTCCTCCATAGCCCACTGCCTGTATATTTCAGCATACACTACATTTTGGGGTAAAAGGGGCTCAGTTAATAGCACTACACTTCTGTATCCAAATGCTAAACTAGTTGAAATATAATGACACCCTATGCATATTAAAGACAAAGCAGATATTGGTTAATGGTTTTCCTAGTACTGAGTTTTAGGTTTATGACTGGCATTTCTAGCAGGGTTAGGCTGATACAGGCATCTCTTTTTAAGAACAAATCCTACACCTGGAGGAGAAAAACAGACTCATATCCCATTTGGGTAACTCACTACTGAGAGTTAATGAGAAAGTGTCTGGTCAATATATGCCCTTCCTTTCTTCTAACCTCACCAGTTGCATAAGTCATTTAATTTTTCCTCCTGTGCTTTGGGTGAATGGATGGATCTAAGTCTTGTTACATTAAGGAAGAGTCCTCTGCTTAAAAAGAGTATTGGGAGCTTGGTAGAGCATTACTCACAGCACCTTCAATCCCTGCACTTCTCTCCAAGATTCCCACCACAACACTGCATTCTAAAATAGTTCAAGCTACATCTTTCAGCTGAGTTTAACATGTTTCTATTGATCTATGTCTCTAAGACTTTAATAAATTGAGGCTTGTATTCATTTTGAAGAAACACAGTATTGAAGGGAAAAAGAGGGAAGATGCATCTTAACTAAGAGGAAGAAATCTTTGATCTTTCCTATGGCTGCAATCCATCTGCTAATTGCCATCAGTGACAATATAGAAAGATGTCAATTTACCTGTCTCATTGCTTTGTCATTCTTCTTCAACCAAATAACTTGTGGAAGTGGGTGTTACAAATATGAATTGGCTCATGCAATTATAAAGGCCAAGAAGTCTCACCGTCTGCTGCTGGCAAGCTGGAGAACCAAGAAAGCCAGTGGTGTAATCCAGCCTGAGTCCGAAGGCCTAAGAAACAGAGAAGCCAAAGGTAAAAATCGGAGTCTAAAGGCCCTAGAATGGGGCACCAGTGGTATTAGTCTGAGTCATAAGGTTTGAGGACCAGGAGTGTCAATGCCCAAGGGTGGGAAAAGATTGATGTCTCAGCTCAACCAGAGTCAGTGAATTTGCCCTTCCTCCACCTTGTTTTATTCAGGCCCTCTGTGGATGGGATGATGCCCACTTACAAAGGGAAAGGCAATCTTCTTTACTCAGGCTACTGATTTAAATGTTAATCTCTTCCAGAGACACTCTCCCAGACAAACCCAGAAATAATGTTTTACCAGCTATCTGGGTGTCCTTCAGCCTAGTCAAGCTGACACATAAAACTAACTGTCACGGAGAGGTAGGACAGCACGTGAGGATGTGATGTCTTTTCTATTTCTTTTCCAGATCGGGTTTTCTCCAAATGTCAATTTTCCTTTCTCCTCTTGTCAGGTAGTCTCCCCTACCCTGCAAACCATGCAGTCCCTCTTAGACTTCCTGAGCTGGCTGATTAGACAGAAAGATCTTTTTACATTTTTTAAAACATTCCAAATATGTCTTTCCTGTCATTGACAGAGACCCTTCTTCCCTATCTCCAAAGTAGTAAAATGACCAAAAAAAAAAAAAAAAACCAAGGAAAAACCATGAATAACTTTTTAGCTAAGAGTCTTTCATAAAATTTGTCTAAACATTCTGCCTGTTATGAAAATGACAGGGGGAAAGAATATTTTTTAAAAAAAATGAAAAGATGATGAGTGACATGCTAGACAGTCCTCTGGCTGGACTCATGCTGGAGCCCTCCAAAAGGGAATGAATGATTGTCATTCTAAGTGAAGTAAACCAGAAAGAGAAAGAAAAATACAATATGGTATCACTTATATGTGGAATCTGAAAAAAAAAAATGACAAACGAACTTATTTACAAAACAGAAACAGACTCGCAGACATAGAAAACAAACTTATGGTTACCAGAGGGGAAGGGGGTGGGAAGAGATAAATTGGGAGTTTGAGATTTGCAGATACTAACTACTGTACATAAAATAGATAAACAAGTTCTTACTGTAGAGCACAGGGAACTATATTCAACATCTTATAGTAACTTATGGTGAAAAATAATATGAAAACGAATATATGTATGTTCATGTATGACTGAAGCAGTACGCTGCACGCCAGAAATTGATACATTGTAAACTGACTATACTTCAATAAAAAATATATATGTATACAAAAAAGAAGCACAAATAGCATAACTGCTTGCTCCTCTTCCCTTGGAGTGCAAATGATGCCATACTTCTTAATTTTCTGACACTTAGTATAGAGTTCTATACTGACATACCCAGATTGGTTGAAAGTCCATTCTCCATATTTTGGATCTCGAGTAGGTGGTGCAGGGTAGGAGATTAGAAATCCTAGAAAGGCCCCCAGAATTTCAGCCGTTAATGAAGAATTTGTAATAAGTGCTACCTCTTGCCCCTTGCCAGTTTGGTCATGAAAAGTCTCCTGGTTCAGTCCTCCATCTGGAGAGTGTCTCTGTGGTGACTGCAGTTCTTCTGTACTGAATGTAAGCACTAAACGTAGAAACTAACCATGGTTCTTCTGGATGTTTGTATGATAGAGAAAATAAATCCACCATATACATATATACACTATAACTTTCTAACAGTCTATATTAAATCCTTAGTAAATTAATATAGTGACTCAGGTTTTTTCTTTTTTCAGATTTTGAAAATAAACCTGTTTTTTTGTGTTCCAAAAATCACTTATCAATGAGTCCAACTAGTTTAATCTTCTGACATGTAGGAAGCCAGAGTTGGGAAGGCATTATTGTGTTTTTTTAATTTGTTTTTTCATATATTCATCATTACTGTCAAAATATTTGCCTTCCTCCCAATTTTGCTGTGAACCTAATACTGCTTTAAAAATATTTATTTGTTAGGCCTTATTCCAATTTTTATTTCATGCACAGTCTCTCTGGACTAAAGGAAAAAAAATAATTCCACTGCATCTTTTTCCTTAGCAATATAAATGTCTGTCTTTATCTATTGTTGAATGTATCATTTTAAGTCTAAATAATTAGGTTTTATTTGTTCTTGTTCCAAATTTAGCTAAACCTAACTTGTATAGATTAAAAAATAAACTGAAATGCAATAGTGTTTCCTACTAACACTGAATAATAAAAAATATATACACACTAAAAGGAATCATCACTTACACATGTGCTTAAAAAGATATTCTAGCCTTTGGTTATGACATTAATTAAATATCAATTTCTTATGAAATATTTTCTCTCATGTTGTGAGTTACTTTCTGCATTACATCACTGGTGATGGGATTTGTGGTATGATGTTAAATATATTTTATTTTTTAGCAATTTCATGTTTATTTAATTGCACTAGTAAATAATGATAACAAATAGACATTTAATGCCACTGTATCTTGAAAGCTAACCCTGCCTCACTAAATAAGGTATTTCTAAATTGCAGTCCCAGGCTTAGCACCTTCTATTATGTATGTTCCTGGTGAGAGTGTCAACAGATTTCTCATTCCCTAGTCACCTAAAAGGAAATTTTGAAATAAAAAGAAATTGCCCCCACT